TAAAAACTCAAAACAATGGCAAATTCCTCTAACAGAGTGTATTATGGCTAAAAGAAGGGTGTGAAGAAAACGCGACGCGAGAAAAAAAAAAGAAAATTTGAGTTTTTTTATACAGCATGCTGAAATGGAACGAAAAGTGAAAACCCTCTCTGTTTCATAATTTATTTCTCAGTGCTCGTACAAGATAAAAACACACACTTTGTTTAATTTGGAAGGCAATGAAAGGTTGTACACGTGGTTTTATTTTCTTAAAAGCGATACTAAACATAGTCGACTCAAAAGAAAAAAACAAATCCGCAATTTAGGTCACAGATGTTCGCGGAGGCATGTTTGGGCATTTTTACAAAGATCGGAGCGACGAATAATAAACAGTAGTTATAATGTCGTCTTACCTACTTGCATATATATCGCACTAAATATATAGACGCTCTCTTTGAGTGATTCAAAAACGCCACACAAGACAATCGTCAAAACCTCGTCGTTCCTTCCCGCATCTTTGAGATTTCTTTTCTCAGAAACTAAGCATGTCAGGACATTAAAATAAAAAGGATTGTTCTTCTTGGAACATGCGCCACGAAATATAAAAATTCGAAGCAAAACAAAAAATACGACTGCCTCTCGTTGCCTGAATCCAAATGAAACCGCCCATATATATATATATAATTGTTGATATATGATGCATATAAAATGAGCAAGACAGATTAATTGATTCATTTATTGATTAGAGGGTGGCGATTAATCGGGTAAATTTGAATCGACGCCCACGCCTAGCTTTAGGGGTAATGTTCCTGATAATACATTACCGCTGCTTCAAGGTCAGTCAATAGGGCTCCCTAAATTTATGTGGTTGTCTTACTAACTGGATTTTCATTTGCTCTTCCGAAAATTCGTGTCTGCCTTTGCATAACTGATGTACGCAGCACAGACCGCGCAACTAATGACGGATTTGTTTTTTATTGCGATCGTGCCTAGTATTTTGTTTTCCGGGGTCCAGTTTAGATGAACGGAACTGATGACCTCTTTTGCTGCTAGGTTCAGTTATAAGAAGACTCAGCAGGCGACGACGCCTGCGCCACCCTGCCACTTTCCTTGCTGTCGTTCATCTCTGCAGGAAAAGGACCTGCCAGTCACCAGAAAGTCCATTTGAAAAAAAAGCAATCGCATCCCGCCCTCAGACGACCGAGTCAACGATATTGCGAAGTCAAGAAAGCCGCTTCCGCACAAAATTTCAAAATAATTTACACAACGTTATCTTCGTGAAGTGCTGGCTGATCCTCCGGAAAACAAAGTGATAGTGAATCGGAACAATGACGCCTATCACTGGAAGCGTGTGTTTCTCTGTCTAAAAAACGTAGGATCCAAAAGGTCTACAAATACAGTGATTGCACTCTGACAGGGCACACTCCCTTATAGCAGAGTTTGAAGTGTTTTATCTGTGAGCCCTCGGGTTCTTTCTAAATCTCGCTGTTAGATTTTGGACTTAGCAATCATGTTCGGACGCCCTTGCCTCGACGACGCCGTGTCTGCAACAGTGGCGGCCACGTGCTTCCTGCAACACGAGGGCTGCAGGTCCGTTTCGCTTAGTTACGCGCTGCTCTGCACACCGCTGCTGGGTGTTTTTCCAGCCGTATTTGAATACGGTAAAACATATTGTAGAGGGTTTCGCTCCTCCCGACAATCTGTCTGCTTTAGCGTACCTAATGCATTCCCAAACCTCGAAATAATGTTTTATTTGAGTCTGCGTGACATGGCGCTTGCATTAATTGCTTGATTATAAACATGAAAATCCTAGAAGTAACGCAATTTATTTAATATAAGAAATAGAATTTTACTAGTATTTCTCACGCCGAGAACTGCTCGGGGTATTCGTTGAATGACAGCTTCTGCTAGGCCTATACTTAACGGACACGGGCTGTCGACAATCTGCTTGAGCCATGTGTTTCGGCTGCACACTGGTCGCCGGTCTGCAAGGAATCGTGCAGCACGACCTATTCAGCTTTTTCTTGGTGGAATCGCGTTCTTCAAGTAACGTTTACTGAACAGCTGTGATATGTTGTGTTCGGTGTTTGTGCGGTACAACAGCGCATTTCCTTCAAATCAATCATTTGAGAATGTATTTAGTGTCAGTGGCGTACTGAATGTTTAGTGTCCCTAATGTATTTAGTGTTACTGAACGTAGTGTAGTATTCAGTGTCACTGACGTAGTGTACTAAACAAGAAACAAAAGATGATGGCTTAAAAAAAACATTTCAAAAGGAAGGCATTGATCCAGCTCGCATGGCTTAAGTTATGTCAAGTATGTCAATAATAAAGTACATGATAGCCCGCGAGAGCATAAAAAACGTAGGGCCTGACATATTATCTTCCATCATCTCGCTTCGGAATTCGTTCTTTGGCATTGCTATCAACTAAAGCCGAAATGTTATCAGCTGAGCAGTGATAATAAGATTCTTGTAACTATATTTGGGGACAACTTTTTGTGGCGATGGAGTTACAGCTAGACAGCCGAAGCACGCCGTTTCACTGCACAGCTGAATATAGTTCAACCAAAATAATTTGCTGAGTGTAACTTAAAAAAAAAGCTGAAACGCTTTTTGAAAAAAAAAAAGAAAAGCTAGAGGGGTCTTGTGGCGTATTTGTATCCCGTGAATCTAAATATCACGTTCATTTTCTCTGAAGATGTAACTAAACGTAAAAAAAACAGGAAAAACCTCCGACCAGTCGTGGCGTCATGCTAGGATCCTTGGGCCGCCAAGCGCATGTCGCCCGTGTGGGCAGCGCGTGCACTTGCAATCTTGCCAGGTATATTTTTGTGCACTGACATTAGTCGTGGCGTCTCTTTTTGACCTTTTTGAAAATAGCAAAAGTGCGCGTGCAAAGCTTTGACAGGCGCTGAAGATGCGCGAGAGCAGAGATTCCGAAAACTCCTAATATGACGTCAGACGTCACGCCCCGGAAAAAAGGAGGGTGCAGCCTCCATGCACCAAATTAAAAAAAAAAAAAATCGATATTTGTGATTTTGGAGGCCGGATGAAGACGATTTATGCGTTTTTCCCCGCATACAGAACCGCTTCAATTTCCCTTTGAGCAATTAAAAACATATTTCCGCAGTTGAATCCCGAAGGAAGAAGGGCTTTGATTTCGTAATGTTTCTTCATTATTAGCCAGGAAGTTTCGAACATATAGCTGATGGGGAAAACAGTTCAGAAAACGCGAAACACGAAGAACAAGCACGACAGGGCAATGCTGTACTCGCAACGGAATATTTTTAATAGAGGAAACAGATTTCAAAGAACAGATGCACACTATCTTATAGGATCGCACAAAAAACACAGGGCAACTAAGCTACCGGTTAGTAATCTTTATTTCTTACCCGCTCACTAGGTGACTCACTTTTTCCCACAGGAAAGACATCTCTTTTTCTGACAGCGCCAACGAAGGTTCACTAACACATGAATGCCCATGGCATGAAATATGAAAAGCTTCTATTATCTCTGTTATCACCTTATCCCTAGATGTGCCCAGAATGGTGACCCCGCAAAAATAAGGCCAACACTTGCAATTTCTGCAATAAATTGGCAGAAGTTCCCGAATCGTGGATCCGAGCGAATAAGGATGTTCTCTTAATCCATCATTCAAACGTCTACCGGTTTGTCCCACATAGCATTCGTTGCACGACAAAGAAATCTTATACACAACACACAAAACCACACGCGACAGAAGGTTTTCTGTGCTTCTTGGGGCACTTCGCCTTCGAGCGTCCATCTTTACCTGCACCAACCCTTTAAGATATAGGTATGTACTATTTTTGGGGCACCGAGAACACTACCAGTATCCCATACAGTGTATAAGATAAACAGGTGGGGATACGGCCCATAGAAGCCTGCCGCAGCGCCGTGACCGGATTGTGTACTCGTCTGCTTGCGGGTACCGCCGATTTGCGACAGATGGCGCTGCGGCGAGAAGAACAAAAATCGGAATCGGATTTGCATGAAACTCTATGGGAGAGTTCGCAAAATAAACCAAGAGCACAACAGTCCACCATTGAAAATCCACGAGAAATCATCTCCGTCAGTTTAGCCGGTCGCCACCGGTCGCCCACCCGGAGTGAGAGTTCGCGGTGTTCCACATAGATGGCGCCACAGAAAAAAAAGAAAACCAAGGGGGACACAATCCGGTCGCTCATTTGGCTCTCGTTTCCCCACCTGTCTATCTTACACCCTGATCCCATATCTACCACCTACTTGTTTCAAGTTATGGGGTACACAGTGGAGGTAGGGGATCACCACCATGCACTTTTTTTTTTCTATTGCGCGTACGCCAACTCTACACCCTTGGCTTTTTTCAGAAGTGTGTTGGCTATACTTTTGTCAAGAGTTCAAACGGGAACCCCGACTCCTTCAGTCTACTAATTCGCCGTCCCAAACCTTTGATCATCTTATGCAAACATGATTTTGGAGGGCCGACCCAAGGCGCGACATCGCTATGACACTTTTGACCACCTTTTGAGTGGGAAGATTTGGAATCCAGAATCGCCTTTCTAGAACGCGGCAAAAACAACCAAAATATAGTTTTATCGCCCAGGTACATCGTCGTCTTGGCAGGTTCACCACTTTGGACACACACAGAGATAGTGTGACGAGAGAGATAATAGAGGCTTTCCACATTTCAGAGTCACTGGCCTTCATGTGTTAGGGAACCTTCGTTGGCGCTATCAGGAAAAGAGATGTCTTTCCTGCGTGGAAAAACGGGCGACGTAGTGAACGGGTAAGAAATGTAAATTACTGACACGTTTCTCGGTTGGCGAGTGTGGCCCTGTGCTTCTTGAGCGATCGTTTAAAACGCTGCGTATGCGTTTTTTTTTTTTTTTTCGCTGTTTCCTCTATCAAAATTCTTCAGTTGCGAGTACAGCATTGTCTTAGTTTTTGTTCTTTTTTGTAGTCAGTGATTTCTGAGCTGTTTTTCCCGTCATGCATAACGTCAACACACTGGACCAGTTCACTATTTGTCTTAGCTCTTTCGGGTTTTCTTGATTTAAGTTCGCCGCAGGTTTCTACTCTCCTGCAAAAAGTCGTCTTTATCTTGTACGTACGTCGTTGGCTAACATCGGTGCGGTGTATCGGTTGCACATTCTCTGTGCTCGCCCCATTGTTGGCCCCCGTAGGATTTTCACGAATTTTGGCAAACAAGAATTGTCCGAATAAGCCAAGTAAGTGGTGAGCAGCGTGTACGCACAAGTGCGACAGATGGCACCGAGGCTCTCTATTGTTAAGTTATGCCGGTTGGTTAACGAGCTCACCAGCGTAATCGAGCAGCGGTGGTAATTGAGCCCAGGATTCCTGGGCTCTGCAGCGCGAGCTTTCGCTGTACGTGTTCCCAGCTGTGGTGCGCCACTTGACTCCCCCTAAGGTCAGCGGTAACTGAACGCGATCCAACTGGAATTTGTCTTCGCGCTGTGGCGTGTGCCTTGCAGCACCAGAAGAGTTTACGTATCAGTTTCCTCAAAACACTGAAGCGCTAATGTCGCAAAACCAATCAATTTTAAGGAAATCTGTCACGGTGTAATTTACCTGGTAAGTAGGTCCCACTGCCTCAGTCACAGCGTTAGCCTGCGTTTGAAAACGGATGAAACATTGGGAATGGGAGGCGGATATGTCTGCATGCACGGCAATCGCGGTTCAGCGCCCTCATCCGCGATCCTCACGCGGAAAGATGAACTCCGGCAACTGCGTGACTGTCACGCCAAAACTCAAACTGTAACCGAAAGAAAAAAAGTCCGGTGCTGCTTGGCGCCATAACACTAAGTCGTTAGCTCTGCCTACCTCCCCCTCTAGCTTTCTCTTCATTGCCACAGAAAAAACACCCGAGTTTAGGCACGCCCGGCGTTTCGTTTTTAAGCTATCAATGACTATAGTTATTTAGTGTATATCTTTATGTTAATATAACTATGTGAACTAAGTAACTTGAAATGAAACTGAACAAACGTTTTCGGTAATATTGGATTACACTGGATTACAGTCATCGGAAGGTTGTGATCCCGTGCCAAACTGTGAAGTACGGGCGCGGTTGGCGGCTTCTTCAATTGCACTGCAAGGGCTGTCAGTGCAGGCTTGACCCTGGCGGGATTACCATCGGAGGACACAGGAAAAGAGTGACAAGAAAAACTATTGATCTTTTTTTTATTACAAGTCTGGGGATGGATAGAACCTTCTGTGGCTTTCTTTCGAAAGGACTTTGCGTTCCTGCAGTCAAATATGAATAGCTTTGCGTAAGGTTTCATATCTCGGTAACAACGTGGCGCTTGGTTCGCAAGCATGTTTATGTCTGTTTTTATCTCAGCTTACTTTACTTGCATTCTTTAAGGTTTCCTTAGCGCCTCAACCCCATCATATTAAAGTCAAGTATCTGTTGTTACATCTTACAGATGGATCCAGCGCACGGGCAAGACATCAATAAGACTACGTGATAGTTCCTTGCATTATATAACGAAACGTGATGCCGAAAGTCTCAGCGAGAACGGGGACTTGGCTTCCAAGTTTTAAAGGTTTATCACAACTTCCTCAGCATGGCCCCGACAGCATCCACAGCTGGCTCATCGCAGGTAAGAGTGAAGCTTCACAATCGCTTAATCATCTTATGAGTTTTTTTTTTTTTTTTTTTTTTTTTTTTTAATGCTGCAAATGCCTATGGTGACTGATAGCTTATGACAGGCAAGGCTTGGCAAGTCTCGAGCACCTTAACGTCGCCCCGCAGCCAATTAATGTGCGGTATTTGCTGATAAGAACCCTGAAGAACTCATTATAAAGCAAGAAGTGTAAACATAAGGAACCACGCCATGCATTTCTTAAGAAGTCAATGACTACAATGATAGTATTTTCTTAGCAGAGTGTAAAAGTCTTCGTCAACCAGTTATTTGTTACGAATCTTAATTAAATCAACTAGCGCCTGTGACTACGATATTTACAATGTATGCATAATTGCCATCGTATGTTTATAATGCGGAAAATAAAATAAAGAGTGTGAAACTCTTGTTTCCGACAACGACCTTACAGGTGCACTAAAGACGTTTGTGAGATCATCTGTTCTTGGTGATAACTTATCTTACTGGCTGTAAGCATCCTAGAAATCCAACAATTATGCTTGTGTGACACCTATTTTCCTACTAAAAATGTGATAGAAGTTCGTGCCACGCACCTTTCTGAGCGGTCAAATCTGGAACGCAGAATCCAGCGGAAGCGCCGGCGGCGTAACGATGGCCATCCTCACGCCATCGTCAAATTGTAGCATAAAAGAATGTCCAGCATATAGAATCCACCATATATTCTACGCTCCCTAGTTTTTATATTATATGCTAGACCTCATACGCCGCTCAATGCAATATAACACTATTCACTCAAGGTCGTGTTAACAGAACGAAATGAACAATTGTGTATAACTGAATTAAAGCACCAAGGAAATACATTACTGAAAAATAAACGGATATTCCTAGTATTTTACTGCCGTCAAGTCCCTCTAAAAACGATCATCTTGAATGAATTAGCATTATTCTTAACGTTGTTGTTCAAACGCACTGTGTCTCAACGTGCCCGACAGCGTCAACACGCCTGGTTTAGTCGCCTCATTTGGTTATGTAGGAGCCTGCTCGATGTGCTGCTTCTTCGCCATGGCCGGAAGGCGTTCCTCTGGTTTCCTGTACGTATCCATCCTGGACACCTTCCATGTCAACCGCCAGGATGGGTCTTGGCCACTCATGATTATGGGGGCCCTCATCTACCTCTCAGGTAGTGTAAGAGTTTTATGGCTACTGACAAACTAAGACGCGTAAGACGTCACAAGTGCAATCTTATTTTCGCTCCGCACCCGATGACATCTCAGCACTAGCGGGTAACAACTCTAAAGAACGAATTCCAAACACAGAAGCGTAAGGATAAAATGACACGCCCTCTTTGTCGAACGTGTAGGTGACTATTGATGATGGACTTGAAACAGCCATGGCCTTGTTGCATAGTTGGAGACTCGAACAGAGTAGCATGCCCGGGCGGAGTCCGAACTTCGTCTGCCGCAAGGTTACACTGGTTTATTTACATCACTACATGCAAGAAACCTTCAATATGACTTTATTTTATTTAGTCAGTCGAGAGAGAGTACACCTCAGATCAGTGACCTGCTTTTTTAAACTGTTCATCTTTCATAGGTCACTAGGTAGGAATTTAATTACTCAATTTGGCAGCCAGTGCCTGCTGCATCTAGACAGGAAGCTTCTGGAAGCGACCTGACGCTGTGGAGGGACACGCCTCCAACGATGTTTAAAACCAAGAGGCGTTATTGGACGAAAAGGAGAACCGACTTGGCGCCAACAACTGCTTTGGTCACCCTCTTGTCACCCTCCTGAGGGTAACCAAAGCTGCTGTTAAAGCCAAGTCAGCTCTCCTTTTCGTCCAATAGCATCCCTGTCTTTCAGTCATCGTTGGGGGCGTGTCTCTCCCCGGCGCTATGTACCCTTCAGAAGACTCCTACCTCCATGGCCTGTTGCCAGCCGTCGTTCTTGCTTTCGAGTACACATTACACTCAGACAGCAAAACTGAGTCAAGTCCCTTGTACATGAGCTTGACTTTTGTTGACTTTTAGTATGGGTTGGCACACGCAGTGTATTTGAACCCCTTTTCAGACGCGTAGTCTTCCACGGCTCCAGTTTACGTCATTAGTCGACGAGAATGCGGCCCGCTGCGCTTTCGATACGATAACCAGGAAGAGAGACCAAAAGTTTCTTCTCACGGTGCCGATCCAGACGCCGTACCTTCTGGCTCACCTCGAGCGTGTCGTTTCTCACTGACAGCTCGCACCTATGCCGGCAACCCCAGGATGAATTTCACGGGGGCTTCTGTTTAGGCGACGTTCGGCAAAACATTTAGGAATGTGATCCATGCGACATAGCGTCGGAGGGTCTTCAGGAAGAACCGGCATAACTAACAGGGAGTTACCGTATTGTCAGTCGCAACAGCCTGCTGCACTGGCCGCACTTTGCCTCTGCTTTAAAAGGTCCTACTTTCTAGGCAGACTCACTCCCTCTATACAGTTTCGTTTTATTCAAAATTGTTCTGATGATTTTGGTATTAGCAGCTTTTGGAGACATTGTAGAGAAATCAGTCTTGACAGCTGGGTATTTGAACACTGATCGACTTTACTGGAACGATACCGGGAGCAGTTTCGTACTCTTTTAGAAGTAATTTATTTGTATGTTATATTCAGCAAGCTCTAAAACTAGGTTCGTTACTTAGTCTAAAGATTACATTTTCGCGCAATCACTTTCAACGATTTTTGAGTCAATAATTATTCCCGGTGACTCATCGTGATCAAATTGAAATATTTGTGTATTCATTCTTTTTTTAGTCAAAGCAACAAGAATGAGCTGAGTACCTTAAGTAAGAAGTCCTTGTTCATGAAAATATCTCTAAAGTGGAAAGACACCAAAAAGATCGTATAGGGTTATTTTTAACATGGCTTTCTTTAAGAAGAAGTCATAACTGAATGACGCACTGAATGTAAGGGCGCAAACGAGCTTGCGAATATTAAGCATGACAGAAACAAACAGACACCTTCTAGTGCATCTGTCTTTTTTACCCGCAGTCTGGTTTTTATTGTCGTTCTAGTATATTGTACACTGGCTTCCTGCTTCTATATAGAAGTCTCACGTTATGAGAAGGTGAATATAAAAACAAATTGCGGTTCATAGTTCGTAGCGTTTAGTAAAGAGTTTTCTAAAGCCGATCGCGCACGGGAAATGAGCTGGCTTTATTCTTTCATACTTTTTGCAGGCCTCATCACAGGACCGTTGGCGCACAGGTTCACGGCAAGGCCAGTGATAATCGCTGGAGCCCTCATCGCGTCTGTAGGAGCGATGCTCTGCTATTTCGCGACGACCATTGAATTCCTCACTGTTACATTGGGTGTAGTTCATGGTAAGTTATGTCGAACATATTCGTCAGTACTTCTTACGTACAAATACCTATACTAAACACTGACGTAAATATTATTGAGCATATAACGTAAAATAACAGATAACAGATCTTAGATGGTGGAGTCGTTCATAAGTCAAGCGCACATATGCAAAACAGCGACCAAGGTATGAGACCGCGTCAGCTACCATCCTATCTTAAAGCGTGATTTAGCAACGTTTTGGTTAGATAAGGGAAAAACTCCTGACCGAGACAAACGATCACAGCATTTATGCTGGCTAAAGAAGGCCTACTATTTATGTTTAAGATTGTTTCAAGAGTTATAATGCCTACAGGTTGCTTCACTTTGCTTAGGATTGGAATTTTTAAAACTCTAGATATGTAAGATTGTTCACATACAGACATTTCAGCAGATCACCCTGCCATCCTACTCAGAGTATAGGCGCACAGCTCCAAAAGTTAATTGTATTCAGCACCCCTGATGGGGGCTTGTGTATCACAGTCACAGTAAGACAGAGAATATCAGGTGACAGAAGTAAATAAATTGTTGTAAAAATCGACAATAGCCTAGCAAAAGCACCTTTAAAATTCGGAAAGATCTACGTTAATATTGAGTACCTCAATTCACGAGCAATTTATGAAATGAAACACACCATGCACTCAACGCGACAAAAATTACAAGTCCTCTGCAAGTCTCCCTAAAATATCAGCACGCGCTAGCAAAAACTAAAACGAAGTGCCTTTTTCCTTTGTTACAGCCATCGGAAGTGGAATGATCTTCGTGGTATCTCCAACGTTCATAAACGAGCACTTTGTCAAGAACAAGGGGCTCGCTATGGGCATCAACTTCACAGGCGTCACCATGGCTACATTTGTTTTCCCGAAGCTTCTCGAGTACCTTACGAACAAGTTCGGCTTCCGCGGCTGTCTCCTCATCTTTGGTGCCATTATATTAAACGCTCTAGCCTTCAGCCTATTCCTTCGCCGGCCAGGATGGGTTAAGACCGCAGCTCTTCACAGCGCAGAGGGCTCGACCTTGAAATCAGTCAACGAAGCGCTCGAGCTAAAAGGCAGTAATCCAGTTCAGAATAAGCAAACGGGTGGGACGTTCCGCCAGGCACTTAGCGTCTTCACCTATCCCATATTTTACGTACTCATGTATTCTTTCGTTGTGTACAGCTTCGGGTTTGAGTGCTACATATCCCTTTTTGTGGACTTTGCTGTCGATCGTGGTGTCTTTGTTTCAAGCGCCGTTACTATGCTCTCGATGAGCGCCATCGCCGACGTTGCGGGAAGACTGACTCTTCCGATGGCGGCCGACAAGGGCCTTTTGACGAATCGGAGTCTGATTACTATCACCTTCATTTGCTTCGGAGTCCTTTTCCTGGTGCTGCCATATATTCACAGCTATGGACTCCTATTCGCGATTGCAATTGCGCTGGCCTACTTCGTGGGCACCATACTTGTTCTCTTTCCGGTGCTTCTTGCGGAGTACTTGGGACTTGAAAGGGTGTCTATGGCCTACGGCATGGTGATCGCCTCTGCGGGATTCTTCTCCTTTGCGAAACCATCCGTCATCGGTAAGTTTTTGTGTAACTTTTGTTTTTGCTTTTTTTGTTTCGCTTTTTTATTTTTTTTAAAGGTTGGATAATTGGTGGATACAAACTTGAATTTTTGAACAGCGAGTGCTTGAGGTTACGCGAACGCCTGCTTCATTGAGACCAAGATTTCATTCTCAGTCCTTTCATTTATAAATTTTAACTCTAAGGCATTAGTCCCCAAAGCATACAAGAATTTGGCCCAGAACACGTGTTGGCGGCAAGCGCTACTTTGTGAAATTAAATGGTGAGGTGCATCTCCATATTTTGTTTCTGAGACATTAAACTCCACTCTTAGTGAATATCTTTACCATATTCTCTAATTACGTTTGCTACGGAGATGACCGAGCAATATCGCGCCCCATTGGCCATACTGTCTCAATGTCAAAAAGGCTCCCACCTTTTTTAAGGCGTCCACCTTATTTTACACAGATACAATATGGCCATTGAACAATGTGTGAGGGTTCTCATTGGCTGAATGAATGAAAAAGACGGATGAGAGGAGCATCGACTGCATCGCTGTGGTTTCTTCTGTCAGGTGCAACTAGAAATGTGCTACAGTGAAAAAAAGCACCAATTGCCTATTTTCTCAAATACGGATTTAGAAAAAAACCGGTCTGCGCACTTTGACCGCGGGCCCCCTTACCCTTCCTCGGAAGATGAATAAATGTATACAAAGTAGGGCTGGGCATTTGATCAATTAATTTAATGATTATTCGATTAAGGGTTTAGTCGCGATTAATTTTTTAACCGGTTAATCGGTAAAATGTTGAAAAACAAGAAAGTAAAAATTTAACGCCTTCACCACGCAGACGTGGACGAGTACACCTGTATGAAGGCCAACTTTATGTTAAATTCTTACCTAAAATAAACAGTAGGGGCGAGATTTTTTTTTTTTTTTTTGCTAACGATTGAATAATTTTGTACATGTCCCGGTTACATCAGTGCCGCGCGAGTGCCTGCTCGCGCGCTAAACGGGCGAACAATCAGAGGTGTTCGGTAATGCCAAAGTATATATATCAACGAACCTCTTTGATTCTGTGGCTGAAGTAAAACTTAGTGAGTGTATGTAACTCAACGGTTATCCACTGCATATATATGCTGATTTAAATCAGAAATTGTACATTGCGCCGTTTTTTCACTTATACAGCAAAGGCAAAAGAAGATTAAATTCGATTTTTAAACAGCGTTCATATGAATGAACGAACCCGATTAATCGAGTAATTAATCAATTAAAGGGTGTCGATTAAACTGGAATCGACGCCCACCCCTAGTATACAGTCAACACCACCTAGGGGTAAAGCCGTAAGTTTCTGTTTTCTACGTCACCTACAGCAGGCCTTTACGAGAGCACATATACCGACCACGTTATGAAGTTTTGTTGGACAGGTAGCGCCATCTTACCTGAACGTTTGATAAGCCTGTAAAGGTCTGCAGCCTCAGTCGCTAAGCCTGATCTGGAGCTCGAACGTCCGAGTGCACTGTCGGCCTGTAAGGCAGCAATCGTGCCCGGTCGTTCGGTGGCACAGCGTGGAGAAAAGTTTCCTATTCTGGCCACCAGCCGAGCTGACCAGCAGCCGATTGAGGCGCCTTTTGTTCACTGCCCTGGAGCTACTGAACACGAGAGCTTCGTCGGTGTTTTTCTTGTAATTCGTGTTCAGTCAGTGAGAACAAGAGTTCCTGCCAACCTCTGATGCAGCACTGGTGCTCAATTCGTGCCTAGGGCTGCCTCTAGGTACCGCTGGTACAGCTCGATGGAGTGCCAACACGATATCGTTGTTTTATTTTCGCATTTTACGGATAGTTGTTAAGCAAGCGCAAATATTGCTGCTGCAGTTGGTGCCCAGGATAAGTACTATTTTCTAAATATTAGTTGTGTTGACATGCTTCCAGTAATAAGAAATAAATGAAAGAGTGGCGACAGCTTCTTCCTGCTAAAGGAATCTTGTTATCTGCATCTTTATTCAGCATTTAACGATTGAAATGAAATTGTAAAAATGCCCTAACTTTAAGAGAAGATGCCGCTAGGAGGCGCATTTTTGATTTGCTAAGACGATAAGACATCAGATAGTTATAAAGTTGTGCCCTCTCCTTTTAGAACGAATTATTAGTTTTCATTTAGGTTGTATATTTTGTGTCCAGAGGCAGGAAAAAATATATATATATTTTTTTTTATGCACACACCGAGGCACACTAAAGTTGTATTAGGAGCCTGATACAGTAACTCATTTTACTCCCTGTGAAGTGCAGAGAGCCACTATCTAGCCAAAAGCTGTGAACAATTTTTTTTAATTTAGGAAATAAATAAAAGTTATTATAAAGCCCTTTTTTAGAAGCCCTTAAGAAGTTAAAAGTTTGCGCAAACATTATTAGGTTGTTGCAATTTCAAATAGATATGGACACTTTACGTATCTTCATGATAACACATAATAAATTTCATTATGATTGTAAGGTTTTAAGCGCTAAGAACTGAGTGCTCAACCTGTAAAAGCCACCTAAACTTGCAAAACGAAAAACAAAAATGCACTTGGAAGTCCAAACGAAGCATGCTCTACAAATATATTCTGCAATAACATAAAATATGACCAGAACAAAAGTATGATGAATAGGAAAGAATAAGGGTCAATAAAACCGTCCAACACCGTATGCTGTAATTTTTCTTGGTCCACTTGCACCATGTGCCGTTGGAAATCATTTACATTAGCTGTTCCTTCCACCTCAGCATTTCGGTCCTCACGTGGTTTGGCTGGCAGGTTTCGCGGCAACGGTATTAACTACAGCGTAAAGGAAAGAAATCGATTCCTGTTTGAAGGAAACGCATAAATTGGTGTCTGGAGATATTAAGCTAAAGGTTGGCACATCAGTGGCCGAAGAACGTGTATTAAGGGAATAAAAATTTTAACTGAAAAAACTTTCCTGTCATAAAAATTTAGAAACGAAAAACTTTAAATCCCCACCTACGCTTGCCGTGTGCTAACCAAAGGAGTCTCATTGCCACAACAGCCTATAGATGTCGACAGGTGGGGGTCGGCAGTGAAGGCACCGAGTACCCTATTTTCAGCGGCACCTTCGCTAATGATACCCCGACGTCCCCTTGATCCCTTCTTCCGATGAAGGGGATCGAGCGGCCGTGGTGGTAAAAACGGTTGGCCATCGATTCTCGAATTTATAAGTTTATCATAATAACAAAAACACGCAGGGACGACTAGCGCATAACGACGACGTTCATTTACATATGGACATCTATACTGAGTATATACGTAAAACATATGACGTATGTATCACAAAGTTTGATTTGGAAATTCATAAAAAAAACTAGATAAGTCGGAATAAGATATTTATCAACGGTATGAAAAATACATATATTTTAAGGGACGCTCTGAGACGCAAAAGTGAATACTGGAGGGGGTATTTTCGTACAACGGGTCTTGCGTACAGCCGCAAGTGTCCTCTACTGCAGAGAGTGTGAAATACGCGTTAGCCTTTAAATTGTGGGAACCGCCAGATTAATGTCCGTTCAAAATATTTGGTATTCCTATCTGGAGAAAAGCAATGTTGCCAAAAATTATTTGTACAGTTGTCTTGAGTAACTCTCCGGTGCTGGGAGCCACTTGGTTCAAACCGGACTCCGTTGTGTATTTTCAGGGTACTATCGCGACGAGATCGGCGCCTACGATACTCTCTTCACCATATGCGGATCCCTGATCCTGTTCGGAGCTTTCATGTGGATCGTCGTCCTGGCTCTGGAGGCAAACCGGAACAAGAAGGTCTTGAACCTGCAACCTGACTGCCCCCAAGAGGACGTGACCGTGACGAAACTCTCGAGGGACCGGCACATGGATGTGTAAATTATTTATGCGCCTCAAGCGCTCGGGACGTTTTTTTTTATGTTTTTTTTAAGCAAGAAGCTTGGAAGTAGGGAGAGTGCTGGGAAGTAGTCTCAATAAATACCGGGCGTCCGAAAGTATAAAAGCCGCGAGGAATAAAAGGGGAAGTCTTCGGGAAAATATTGGTTGCCTGCTCAAATTCGATAATTAAGGCTAAAGCCTTAATTATCGCGTAATTGCCTCATTACGCGAAAAAGCGGCGGCGGCGTTGTGCCCAAAAGATGGTCACACAAATACGTCATCAAGCACACGCTTCATAAATAAAACGCAAAGAAGCACAGCAACGCAGATGCCTCGGCACGGAAGCTGGCGGGGGTCGCTCAAGGTCAAAGCGGACGCGCGTCGCGCGTCAGAAATAAAACACAAAGAAAAGCACAGCAATGCAGATGCGTCGTCACGGAAGCCGTCTTGAAGCCAGCGGGTTTTGCCGCGCCTGCGCAGTGCGCGAGCATGATGTGACCGCCGGAAGGCCGTGAGAAAGAAGACGATGTGGCACACTGCTTGTAGGAATGTGCTGCGTGTAAGAATGCTTGTTAAGGTGCCAGCTGAACGTTTTAGCGACACACACACAGAGACGAACAAAAGAAGGCAGACACGGCGCTGGATTAGCAACTATTTTAATGAAATCTTCTTTCTCTTTAGTCTACATAATGCGCTAAACGAATTCTTCCTCTTATATCTGAACCTTCGTCTTCCACTCTTCCTCTTCTTTCGTGTGCCTCAAGCCGTCACATGTAGGAATGCTTTCGCATTTAGATACGTAAGCAGTCTAAAGTGTACCGAGCGATTTTTTTCTATCGCTCAGTCAGCTATCTGTGTGATATTCTTTAGTGCAATTAACAAAAATTAGACATTTTGTTTTACTTACTTTGAATCTTTATAACCAGAACTTTTTGACATATTTATGGCATGAATTGTTTAAATATGCCTACTACTACACTATAATAAAAGCCCATGCGTCTACTTTTCCGCACAATATTCCGAAAGCTAATCACCACAACTTACGGAGGCAGCTGAGCGAATGACGATGCGAAGACATATCTGTTTAGACCTAAAAACGCAGTCTGAGCTGTGTTTTTAGGTCAGACTTTTTTAGAATTTGCTCAAGTCCTGGGGTGTGTTAATCTTCATGGAGGTCAAGGCTTACTTGTGGTCCGCCTAAAATTTCTCAGATATTGTGTACTGTATGTCCGAGCGACAGACATAAAGCCTTCCAAAGTGTTTTAGCATAGTTTCGAAAAAATTTTCTTGTCACGCTTTGCTGTAAAAGTTAATTGCTTTACGTTTTTTTTTGTTTTTTTTTTTAGTAAGTTAAGTATCAACAGTCGCCAGAACGAAGTAAAAAGTTACCTGAAAGGCCTCACACTGTCAAACACCGTCGTATAAATTGAATTTCTCATGGCCCTAGTTTCTTATCTCTGAGTAAGTGAAGAATTCTAAGCAAAACACCAGCGATGTCTTATGCTAATTGAATTTTATAAATGTATTAGGCACTGAGGTAGTGCAATGGATGCTATGGATGCCGGGTGTGTTCACTAGAGACTCTTAAACAGGCTGGACTATGTAGCAAAAATAATAAAAATGAACCCTATCCCAAGCCGTATGGTCCTTTAGAAGAGCATTTAGCTAGCAGTTTCGCAGATCATATTTATCCAAGACTTTCTGAGCTAACTTGGCTTCTAAAACTGTGCCTGGTGCACATTTAATCTCAGTCGTCTCTTTCTGCTCACTGTTTACATTAGAGGTCCCGAGGTGCCCATTTCTTGATTTGCAAAACGCACGTACTTGTCGCTTGCGTAAGAGTACCTTTCTAGCTACCACTGTAGTTTTCCTATCTTAGGACGGGTAGGTGCGAAACAATTAAAATAAATCAGCATTTCAAGAGAACAAAGTTTTAAGTTGTATAATATTTCAGTCGGTGCGGCGTCTTCAGAAACTCCAGGTGCTTGAACAAACACCTAGTTTTGCGCCAGCTTTAAGGTTAAGCACAAGCGTTTATTTTTGTGCGAATGATTTATATTTTAAAACAATGCTTCAACGTAAAAGAATCACTTGACAAAGGGCTTACTTAAAGAGACACTTAACACACAAATAACGTATTTTTTACGTGCCTGGGGTGGTCATGTATGCCGCAAATGAAAATTTGTTTTAAGAAAACGTTTTATCAGGATATATACCTCGCAAGTCTTGTTATGGGCGATACCGTTAAACCTGCTTCTATTTAACGGTCTACATGTTCAAATACACGAATACTTCGGAACCGTCACTTTGGCAGAATGTGTCCCGCGGCAGAAATATGCGATAAAATGTTTTGTATTAAAACTGCGAGATAGGCTAGTTTGTTCTGATTGATCATAGATATATCGGTAAAGAAACAAGGACAAGAAGGTAAGTAGCACACAGGACAGGGCATAACGTTCTACTAAATTTATTAGGATACGCACAAAAATGGTAAAACGGTGCATGCACAAATAGGATACACTTAGATTAAAAACCCCAAGAAGCCGGACGACACTAATAAATGACAAAGGCTTCGGTGATAAAGGAATGTTCCTCATCGTGTAGAGATAAAAAATGAGCACTGTCGGAGACAATCGGCCTATGCGATTTTTAATCTAAGTATATTCTCTTTGCGCATGTGCAGTTTTAACATTTTTTTGTATATTCTAATAAATTTCGGTTCAAAGTTAAGCCCTGTCCTGTTTGTCCCTTATCGTCTCGTCATCGATTTTTTTAGGCGTATATCCCCCTAGCAATGTTATGATTTTTTTATTCGAAAAAAAAATTGTTTCAGAGGGTCAATACTTACCTTCTACAGAGTCGCTATGGACTTAAGAAAATTCTTCATTCATAATTTATTTGAACAACGTCCGAACAAAAATGCAATGAGATCATGTTTAATTTACACATGCTTCGTCACTACGTACCAAATGCATGGCGCGACTTCAGATGATGTCACTCACTCAAATTTTAAGAATATAGTATAGTATACTGTATAGTTTATGTGATATTTTTTAACTCTAAATATTTATGAGTTGAGAACTCTCGTAACCTCCGGGTTTTAATGCTCTTGATGAATCTTGAAGAATTTTCGTATATGATAGAAACTTTATCTGCGAATGATAATTATTTGGCATTGGTAATATTGAAATACAAATAACACTATTTGTACTAATAAACTTGGGCCAAACATTTGTTTCTCAACGGACTTACGGTATATACGAACTCATCTCTGTTACTTCACGGCGCGGTGGTGGCGCGTCGGACGCACTTCCGGTCCGGGGCTGTGGGCGGAAGTGCCCATGTGAGACGTGTATTCCTGCGTTGTTTTGAAAGGAACCAGACAAAAACCTGCCTTCACGTCAAAATGCTGCGACTGGAGCTGTACCAAAAGAGTCGAGAAAGGTTTGAAGGTCAGTTTTCATGTGCTCGGTTCGTCCGAGAACGTGGTTATGTGCCGCGAAAAGGGTTAACCAGACGCCGTCGGACCACGATTGCTTGGGCGGGAAGCATTTTGGGTTGAAGTCACGGATACTTCTGGCCATCAGGTTTATTTGTTTTGTTCCAAAATGAACGCTGGAAAACCGTCAAGTTGTACGGACCACCTGCGGACTACGTTCAATGCGTCTTCAAGTTCAAACGGTCACCTGATCGTTCGAACTGTCGTCTACTCTTTCAAACGTTTCTGCTTGTCGTCTGCTCTTTCAAACGTTTCTGCTTGTCGTCTCCTCTTTTAGAGGACACCGGCCCGTAGACCAAACGTGGGCCTGGTACTTGCGATAAGAAGTAAGTGCAGGCCTCAAAAGACTTAAGTTTGAAGGTTGGTAAGCAGGCTCGACGTCAACAGTAGATACAAGGAGATGTTGATCATTGTTACCACTGGCCATCACCGACTTGTTATGCCTGATTCACTTGGTTAGATTCTGCTTGCGATTTTAGGTATCGACGTCAACCATCTCAGCTACGGTTCACGCTTTTGCAGTCCGAGCGACGTCGCTACTGAAAATTGCGAGCGAAATCTAATCATGTGAATCAGGCTTTAGCGTACATTCTGCGACGACGACGCGGAATGAATCGCCGCATGTCAGGTTATTCACGGGACGTTTTGCGGTGTAACGAGCCTCGTTAATTTCGCTGACGCCGCTCAAGTAGTCAGACATCGCTAGAAGGACGTAGAATCAACAATTTCAACGCGAAGAAGAGCGCGGGGACTCACACCGACGCCGACAACATCGCATTTCAATGGTTTGTTTATGGGCGACGGCGAGCTTCTTGCCCACACCACCATCGCGCATTGCGCGGCGCCGGTGGCGTCCGCTAGGGGCGCTCCGGGCGCTCCGGTTTGTTTGTAAACATGAGTTGGTGTACACCACTGTCACATTAGAATTTCGAAAGCCTTTAGGTGGGAGGCTTCTAAATAATAAGTGTAGCATTGCATTCCACAAGACATGCACGCGTAAAGTCAGAATCACGAGCTGATTTGGCGCTTGCCCAAAGGCCTTCCACATAAAGGCCTTTTAAGGTGCCATCATAATGTAGTGCCATCATAATGTCTTCGCGGCGGCGAATATCTCAGAACATTTTGATTTAATAAAAAACACGGAGACAAGATGCCCATAAAACAGATGTGTCGGTTTAGCTTGGCAACTTTTTTTATAATTTGCTCAAGTCCTGTGGTGTGTTAATCTTCACGGAGGTCAAGGCTTACTTGTGGTCCGCCCAGAATTTCTCAGATATTGTGTACTGTCTGTCCGAGCGACAGACATAAAGCCTTTCAAAGTGTTTTAGCATAGTTTCGAAACAATTTTCTTGTCACGCTTTGCTGTAAAAATTAATTGCTTCACGTTTTTTTTTTTCTTTTTTAGTAAGTTAAGTATCAACAGTCGCCAGAAAGAAGTAAAAAGTTACCTGAAAGGCCTCACACTGTCAAACACCGTCGTATAAATTGAATTTCTCATGACCCTAGTTTCTTATCTCCGAGTAAGTGAATAATTCTAAACAAAACACCACCCATGTCTTATGCTAATTGAATTTTATAAATGTATTAGGCGCTGAGGTAGTGCAATGGATGCTATGGATGCCGGGTGTGTTCACTAGAGACTCTTAAACAGGCTGCACTATGTAGCAAAAATAATAAAAATGAACCCTATCTCAAGCCGTATGGTCCTTTAGAGGAGCATTTAGCTAGCAGTTTCGCAGCTAGTATTTATCCAAGACTTTCTGAGCTAACTTGGCTTCTAAAACTGTACCTGGTGCACATTTAATCTCAGTCGTCTCTTTCTGCTCACTGTTTACATTAGAGGTCCCGAGGTGCCCATTTCTTGATTTGCAAAACGCACGTACTTGTCGCTTGCGTAAGAGTACCTTTCTAGCTACCACTGTGGTTTTCCTATCTTAGGACGGGTAGGTGCGAAACAATTAAAATAAATCAGCGTTTCAAGAGAACAAATTTTTAAGTTGTATAATATTTCAGTCGCTGCGGCGTCTTCAGAAACTTCAGGTGCTTGAACAAACGCCTAGTTTTGCGCCAACTTTAAGGTTAAGCACAAGCGTTTATTTTTGTGCGAATGATTTATATTTTAAAACACTGCTTCAACGTAAAAGAATCACTTGACAGAGGGCTTACTTAAAGAGACACTTAACACACAAATAACGTATTTTTTACGTGCCTGGGGAGGTCATGTATGCCGCAAATGAAAATTTTTTTTAAGAAAACGTTTTATCATGGATATATACCTCGCAAGACTTGTTATGGGCGATACCGTTAAACCCGCTTCTATTTAACGGTCTACATCTTCAAATACACGAATACTTCGGAACCGTTACTTAGGCAGAATGTGTCCCGCGGCAGAAATATGCGATAAAATGTTTTGTATTAAAACTGCGAGATGGGCTAGTTTGTTCTGATTGATCATAGATATATCGGTAAAAAAACAAGGACAAGAAGGTAAGTAGCACACAGGACAGGGCATAACTTTCTCTTAAATTTATTAGGATACGCACAAAAATGGTAAAACGGTGCATGCACAAATAGGATACACTTAGATTAAAAACCCCAAGAAGCCGGACAACACTAATAAATGACAAAGGCTTCGGTGATAAAGGAATGTTCCTCATCGTGAAGAGATAAAAAATGAGCGCTGTCGTGGACAATCGGCCTATGCGATTTTTAATATAAGTATATTCTCTTTGCGCATGTGCAGTTTTAACATTTTTTTGTATATTCTGATAATTTTCAGTTCAAAGTTAAGCCCTGTCCTGTTTGTCCCTTATCGTCTTGTCATCGATTTTTTTAGGCGTATATCCCCCTAGCAATGTTATGATTTTTTTATTCGAAAAAAAAAATTGTTTCAGAGGCTTCAGTCAATACTTACCTTCTACAGAGTCGCTATGGACTTAAGAAAATTCTTCATTTATAATTTATTTGAACAACGTCCGAACAAAAATGCAATGAGATCATGTTTAATTTACACATGCTTCGTCATTACGTACCAAAAGCATCGCAAGTTCACATAACGCACTAATAACGCTTCTAAAAACAGTTCTTATCGTACGTTTACAATGGTCGTTTTCCGCATTCATTCTCAACACACACCTTAAATATCAACTCACATCTTGATTAGATGCACTCAAAATATTTCCTTTCCGCATCAGCTAAATCAGGTATACTATTCAACTAAACAAACGCACACTCAAGTCGTTTACAAATACGGACGTATAGGCCATTCTGCACAAGCAGAAGGCATCTTGCGCTTATGTAGAAACCTGCGTGTTGATGGCTAGAGGCCACGGTACAAAAGGCGACTCATGATCCAGGCATGATGCAGCAAGTAGTTGCATCATACAGCTACCTAATTGGTCCACCAGGCTGGTAACGAACGGCGGTTGCGCTGTGACTCGAGGAGAAATATGTTGTCTAATGCAAGTTCAATCAAAAACCGCAACTCCAAAAACGGGGCACACTTTACGCGAGTGATTACGACAACGTCATTGGATACGGATTGGCAGTTGTGAAGTTGATAGTACGCGTTATCAGGGAGTTATAGGGAACCGGTTATGCACATCTTTAATGGTAACCATGGCCCCCCGGTATGAACTGCACATATGCGAGTCCTCTGCTGCAGCGCATGCGTAGTTTGTATCGGAGGGCATATCGGTACCGTATCGTACGTGCAAAACCGGTTCCCTAAAACTCTCTATTTACTGTTAGAAACAACGGTTCAACTTGATATTTATTTTACCTCTTATCCTGGAGGTATGCGTAAAAGGTACGAATATCAGTTGTTTGTATTACCTCGAACACCATCTACAATAATACGACGTTCTGGACTTGTCGCGCCCGTGTTTCTTAGGCCGACAGTGACCGTGAAGAAAATCAGATTTTCGAACACGTTGTAACGATGAAGTATTTGGGCTAGCCAGGGATGTACAATGAAATGCTCTCGGCAACCATCCGTGACTCCAGCTTATGAAACGCAGCATCCTTCTATGCGATTGGTGAAGTGAATAGTTTACAATGAAACAATGTTTTGACTTTCAGTAAAATATGGACGACACGCTGTGCCGCGCCACGCGCTTGTAGTCCACGTAGTGGCCGTCGTCGAGCATAATTAGGGAGGGAAGGTAGGAAAACTTTCCCGGGGAAATGTCTCTTCCCGTAAAGGCGTGTTGAAGAGTCCACTTTGTCTTGACGGTGTTGCGGCTGACTGCTGCTACAACCGCCCAGGCCAACGACGCTGAGATGGCGACACAACCGCAGACCACGAACAGGTAGTGGTAGGATCCCAGGGTGTCGCGAAAAAAACCTGCGTGGTGAAAATGTAAAACTCTAGATCGACGAAAGGGATGTTGAAGCGTACATCATTCGTCTGTTTAGATAGAGAGTGTTCGGTGCTATTTACTTCTGAAGTATAACCATTAAATAGTTGTGCAAATCTGCAGGACACTCTGAAATTTGATATAAATAAATAGACTGTAGCTTAAATTTCTTGTTGAAAATCCTAAATAAATTTTAAAAGACCGCCAAGGGTTTTATCCTATACATCAGGAACATGAATGCAAGCTCTGTGAGCCTTTAGCCGTCCTGCCGTCCGCGAGAAAACCGAACCCTGTTTTTTACACCGCAAAAATAGACGACGAAATCGTGGAGCGCTCACACTCCAGCTCAAATTCGAGCAAGATTCCAAAGTTTCAGCACCACCCCTTATCTTATTCAAAAGTTATAAACTTTTCTGAAAATTTCAATGGGAAAATGGCAGCCAAAGGAGCTCTCGAATACGTTCAGCTCTATGGCGCCAGAAACTGAAAACGGGCGAAAATTGACCCCGTTTTTCCACTGAAAATTTCAGAATATAACTTATAACTTTTGAATGCTATAGCGGTTGGTGCCGAAAATTCGGTATCTTGCTCAAACGGCTAGGGCTATGCTCTGACGAAGCTGGAGCTCTCCGCAATGTCTAGTGGATTTTTGCGGTGCGAAAAACAGGGTTCGGTTTTCTTGCGGACGCCCGTTATATCGTAGTATGTACCCTGTATTGGTCTGCACCGGAGCCACTTAGCCTGACTATTAAGATTGAAGTCATTTATTTCTGCAGCGTTCGCTCGTAATATATGAATTACTAGAGCATGCTAATATTTCTGCGCCATTTGGTACTAGGGAAACAAATAGTAAACTTTCATGTGTAATTATATTACAATAAAGACGCTTAAAACATTCCGAAACTCATGCATGTCGAAAGACAGGAAAATGTAATGTGCAATTTATTTTAGTGTGCCGCTAATCAATAGGTTTACTTCAATAAATTCCTTCCTGAACGAATTACTGTTATTTCAAAAAGGCAGCGAGGTGATAGACAACTTTTTAAATTTATTCGATGTGTGTGGTTATATTGATAAAAAATAAAAATAGAAAACAATTTTTTTTGTTACATGATATGTTTTTTTGCTATAAAATTCCGTCGTGATGAAGGAAAATTAATTTTTATAAAATATACTGGAGTCGATAAAAAACAGAGCGTTTTTTTCATGATTCAGAGCTTAGTTGTTGTATTTACTTCGCGAGAAAGATGCGATGTTGCTTTTGTTAAAGTATTTTTTAGGTAATCTGTAAGGATTACTGCCTAAAAATTATGTGAATTTTATAATAGCGCCCTGTTGAAAAATAAATTTCTACATAAGCTTAAACATCTTCATGTCGCCTACTAAATTAACAGGGTCTTACAAAATAATTACCCTCTTATTTCATAATTTTTAACCGCAGTTATTTTATTCCAAAGCACTGGCGACACAGTTGTCATTTGAATACATGGCCTCAGGCTAGTGAATGAAATGTTCCACAGTTATTGTATATTTAACAAAACACAAACAAAACGAAAAACGGTCGATGCAGGTTAAAGACGAAAACCGACCAATCAGCATAATCTTCTCTTGCTAAAACAAGAAAAAACATTCGTATAATAACAAAATACGAACAAAATTACTAACAGAGTAAGGATGTCTAGTTGGGTTAGCTGCTTTTGCATCATGGTGTAATACGCCAAAACAACAAGGACGAAAACGAAGGGAGAACTGGGCCATTACAAAACAAAAACGACCAGAGAAATTCACGAAGCCTTTTTGATTAGGTCCCACCGCGACAATTATTGTGTAAGCAATTGTCCTTGTCTGATGAAATTCTACAATTTGAAGAACTAATGACGCTGGCATTTGAGGGGGGGGGGGAGGGGGGAATAATTAGACCATATCACTGTGTTCTGCCAAGTGTGCCTGCTTTTATATTATTAAAATTGTGTCATCGAAATAAACAATTCAGTTGAAAGTTACGCCGCGTCCTGTCCAGTTCTCCCTTCACTTTCGTCCTTGTTTTTTTGGAGTATTACACCATGTTACTAACAGAGATAAACTTACCGATAATGGACGGCTTGCCAAAGGAAAACGTTGCCGACAGGGCCGTCAGCATGCCAGTCGCCATAGCCATTCGGTCTATGCCGACGTACTCGACGAGCAGTACAGGGAAGAGTACGACTCCACAGCCGAGCAGAAGTGCCACAGCGGACGTTAGCACGAAGATGATGTCATAGCCTTGCTGGTAAGGCAGCACAATGTACAGGACCCCGACTAGAGCGAGCAGGGCCATCATTAATGTCCTCCTCTTGATCAGTCCCCGATCCGTCACAGCAGGAAGGACCAGCCTTCCAACCAGGTCAGGCACCGAGGAAAGAGACATCATAGTCACCGCACTGCTCATCGGAATTCCTTTGTCGATGGCGAAGTCGATGAAAAGGGAGTTGTAGCAGTCGTAACTTAAATTGAATGAGATGAACGAATAGGTGATGACGTAGAACATGGGAAGCTTGAAGATGCTCAAGCCCATGAGCATCGATTCGGGCTTGTCTTTAACGATAGCGTCCCTGTCGGCTATAGATCCCGAAATGGTCCACTGCTCGGCACGCCCTTGGCACTCCGTTTCATCGGTGACTTCGTTTAAAGTTGTGGTGCTCTCTGACTTGAGCCAGACGGGCTGCCGGAGAAACAGGCTGAACGCGACGGAGTTGAGTAGTAAGCCACCGAAGATAAGTAGGGCGCCGTGAAATCCGAACACACCCACGAGATATTCGAGAAGCTTGGGAAAGACGAAGGTTCCGAGCGTCGATCCGGCGAAGTTGATGCCCATCGCCAGTCCCTTGTACTTGACAAAGTGTTCGCTGATTACTATGGGGTTCATTGCGTAGACGATCCCGCTTCCGAAACCTGTGATGAAACATAAAATAAGGCATAAGATTTTTTTTTAAATGTGCACGCTGAGCTACTTCACAGATTTTTAAGGAGTGAGAAGGAAGGGAGGGCTATAGCGTCTTTGATTTAAATTCGTGCATTATTCACTTGTGACCATGCATAAACATTATGTTCGGCATGGGAGTAAGAACGAATGGCGCAAGTGAGGTACTCTAATGATACAATTGCGGTATGAGTGAGTTTAAATTTCTTGCGACGTCACGTGTGCATACGAAACTGTGATTATGCAGACTCAACAAAGCCAGTTAAAGGATCACTGTAAAACGTCTCCTGGGAGTAGCTAACCTATTTGTGACTATGACATGACCCCTGTCATTCCAGCTGCTTGCGTATACTTAATCCTCTAGTATTTTGATCACAGTCTATCAGATAGAATTTATGAGTTTTATTGTATTTTAAAGTCTCTGACACCCATTGCAAGCTTTTTTATTTAAATCTTTTTAGACGATACAGGGTGGTGTCAGATATCTAAAAAATTACAACGCGACTTTTTTTGGTCGAACGTACTTCACAATTGTCTGCGCCCTCCAAACCAACAAGATGACTCCTTACTTCTTCATTTTATTTTTGATCCCGCGTGGACGGATGTCCACGCATGTGATCTAAATAAATATTTAAAAATCGCTATTGAGACATTTAAAAAGAGTGAAAGATTAATTTCTATGGCACTTACCAATAACAGTCATGAAACGTATACTTAAGGCTATGGTGTACAGATTACTCTGTCAATTTTGAGGTATCACAAATAAAACTAGAAATCAGCAGCAGACATTAAAGCTCCACCTTCTCTTCATTAACTGATTGCTTTCAATATGGCATCACCAAACGGCTGCACTGCGAGCTCGGCGCCCGATCTGCAAATCAGCTGATCAGGTGTCTAATTCGGTTATATACGACCTTTCACGCTTCGAGAAATAAAACTCTCGAACGTTCGAAGAAGCTGAGTTTGATGTCTGACTACAGGTTTTCCCGCTCATTTTAATCCAAGCGACGACCAATTTAATCCCGGGGTCACTCAATTTAATCCAAGCGCCATACAATTTAATCCAAGCGCCACACAATTTAATCCCGGGGTAAGTCAATTTAATCCACAATATATATATATGCACTTATTGTGATCAGTGGTCGTGTTTCGCTTACACATTTGGTAACTTAGAACAATTGTTTGTACAATTTGAAAGTTCGGGGGGCAATTGAGAATTTGATCACTAATGTGATTACTTTGAGTTACTAGTCCCACTATTGACGAGGCTTAATTGATATGTTGGTTACTCTTTTTAGAGCGCAGCTCTTCGGCACCCGTTCCGGCTTAAGCGGCGTCGGCGTCGCCGTCGCCGTCGGCGTAACTACGCGGTGAATGATGGGTGAATTCCCCCGCTAAATTTAGCGGAAAAATTTCCCAGCTAAATCTAGCGGAAAACTTTCCGTGCTAAATCCAGCGAAAACTTTTCCCAGCTAGATTTAGCGAAACATTTGCCCCGCAGTTTAGTGGGAAATTTTCCCCGCTGTCTAGCGGGAAATTTTCCCCGCTAAATCTAGTGTAAAATTTTTCCCGCTATATTTAGCGGAAATTTTTTCCCGCTAAACCTAGTGGAAAGTTTTCCCCGCTAAATCTAGCGGAATATTTTCCCAGCTAGATTTAGCGAAAAGTTTGCCCCGCAAAGCCTAGCGGAAAAGTTTCCCCGCTAAATCTAGTGGAAAGATTTTCCCACTAAATCCAGCGGAAAATTTTCCCCGCTGAATCTAGCGGAACAATTTACCAGCTAGATTTAGCGGAAAATTTTCCCCGCTAAGTCTTGCGGAAAATTTTCCCCGCTAAATCTAGTGTAAAATTTTTCCCACTAAATTTAGCGGAAAATTTTTTCCCGCTAACTCTAGCAAACAGTTTTCCCCGCTAAATCTAGCGGAAAATTTTCCCAGCTATATTTAGCGAAAAATTTGCCCCGCAAAGTTTAGCGGAAAAGTTTGCTGCTAAATCTAGTGGAAATTTTTTCCGCTATGCCTAGCGGAAAATGTTCCCCGCTAAATCTAGCGAAAAAATTTCCCAGCTAGATTTAACGGACAATTTTCCCCGCTAAGTCTAGCGGAAAATATTCCCCGCTAAATCTAGTGTAAAATTTTTCAACTACTTATAGCGGAAAATTTCTTCCCGCTATATCTAGCGGAAAGTAGTCCCCGCTAAATCTAGCGGAAAACTTTCCTCGCTAAATCTAGCGGAAAATTTTCCCAGCTAGATTTAGCGAAAGGGCCCCGCAAAGTCAAGCGGAAAAGTTTCCCCGCTAAATATAGTGGAAAATTTTCCCGCTAAATCTAGCGGAAAGTTTTCCCCGCTAAATCTAGCGGGAAAATTTCCCAGCTAGATTTAGCGGAAACATTTCCCCGCGAAGTGTAGCGGAAAAGTTTTCTCGCTTAAGCTGGTGGAAAATTTTTCCGCTATATCTAGCGGAAAATTTTCCCCGCTAAATTTAGCTGAATATTTTCCGTGCTAAATCTAGCGGAAATTGTTTTCCGCTAAGTCTAGTGGAACATTTCCCCGCTAAATCTAGCAGGAAATTTTCACCGCTAAAATTAGCGGAAAATTTTTCCCGCTAAATCTAGTGGAACTTTTTTCCCGTTAAATACACCGGAAAATTTTCCTCGCTAAATTTAGCGAAAAAATTTCCCGGCTAAATCTAGTGGAATATCTTCCATGCTAAATCTACCGGAAACGTTTCCCCGCTAAGTTTAGCGGAAAAGTTTCCCCGCTAAATCTAGCGGAAAATTTTCCCCGCTAAATTTAGCGGAAAAATTTTCCCACTAAATATAGCTTAAAATTTTCCCCACTAAATATAGAGAAATATGTTCCCCGCTAAATTTAGCGGAAAAATTGTGGGGTTCAGGAAAGACGTCCGTCGATGCAAATTAACAAACTGATCTTTATAACCGCAATAAAACTGAAAAAGATCATCAAAAGGGGGCTCCGCTGAGACGCCCTGCTGCACCGTGGAACGCTGCCAGTCTCGTGCTGTTCTGTTCGAGCCCGGAGCTCGGTCCCAGCGGTGCTGCTCGTGTTGCACGCTTAAAACGTCAATAGGGAGTTTTTGTAGGCCGTGTTTCCCCCTCCGCTAAGCCCTCCACAACAAAGAAGCCGCTACTGCGCCGGCGCGCCGATGGCCTTGACTGTAGAGTTCCGGCTAGCTTAGCTGGTTGCGGAGAGCGTTGCGGGACAGCAGAAACGATCTACGAAAATACCCTATTAGCTCCAGACGTTGCGTGAGCCACCACAATAAGTGTCGCGCTTTGGCACTACAAATTTTCTCCGCTAAATCTAGCGCAAACTTTTTCCGCTAAATTTAGCGGGGAACATTTTACGCTAGATATCGCGGGGAAAAATTTCAGCTAAGCTTAGCGGGGCAAATTTTCGGCTAAATCTAGCTGGGATGATTTTCCGCTAAATTTAGCCGGACAATTGTTCTGCTAGATTTGGCAGGGAAAACATTCCGCTAGATTTAGCGGAAAAAGGTTCCGCTAGATTTAGCGGGGAAGCTTTTCCGCTAGACTTTGCGGGGCAAATTTTCCGATAAATCTAGCTGGGAAAAGTTTCCGCCAGATTTAGCGGGGGAAATTTTCTGCTAAATCTAGCGGGGAATATTTTCCGCTAGATAGAGTGGGGAAAGTGTTTCCACTAAATTTAACGGGGAAAATGTTCCGCTAGATTTAGCAGGAAAATTTTCCGCTAAATTTAGCGGGAAACATTTTCCGCTAGATTTAGCGGGGAAGCTTTTCCGCTAGACATTGCGGGGCAAATTTTCCGATAAATCTAGCGGGGAAGCTTTTCCGATAGATTTAGCGGGGAAAATTTCCAGCTGAATATAGCGGTGAATATTTTCCTCTAGATTTAGGGGAAAATTTTCCGCTAGACTTAGCGGGACAAATTTTCTGCTAGATCCAGCTGGGAAGATTTTCCGCTGAATTTAGCGGGAGAAATTTTCTGTTAAATATAGCGGGGAAAATTTTCCGCTAAATTTAGCGGGGAAAATGTTCCGCTAGATTTAGCAGTAAAATTGTACCGCTAGATTTAGCAGGGAAAATTTTCTGCTAGATTTAGCGAGGAAATTTTTCGCTAAATTTAGCGGGGGAATTTGCCCATCATGCACCGCGTGGTTACGCCGACGGCGTGGGCGACGCCGACGCCGCTTAAGTCAGAAACGGGTGCCTAATAGCTGCGCTGTAGAAAGAGTAACCAACATATCAATTAAGCCTCGTCAATAGTGGCACTAGTAACTCAAAGTAATCAGATTAGTGAACAAATTATCAATTGCTCCCCCCAAAATTCATATTGTATAAACAAGTATTCTAAGTTCCCAAATGTGTAAGCAAAACACGACCACTGAACACAATAAGTGCATATATATATATTGTGGATTAAATTGACTGACCCCGGGATTAAATTGTGTGGCGCTTGGATTAAATTGTATGGCGCTTGGATTAAATTGAGTGACCCCGGGATTAAATTGGTCGTCGCTTGGATTAAAATGAGCGGGAAAACCTGTAGATGCCTGACCCAAAGCCGCGCGTGATCCCGACGAAGACGTTGACGGGTCAGCGGTTCTTTTGCTCAACCCAGATGTGTGGCGTGTCAGCAGTGGTCACGTAGCATTCCGTACGCCAAGCAGTCAAAGATCTTTATACGGAACTTATGCCCTGAGTCTAATTTCTTACTTGATTGGGTCAGTTTTATTGCGACGGTCAGAAAAGGTGATGTGGTGCATCCAAAACCGCAGGGGTGCCTAATGTGATCAGTGATCGGGATCGAGCACACGTTGGTCGGATTGAGGGCAAATGGCAGTTTGTCCTCCAACGTCGAGTAGTGCCGACTTTCAAGGGGAAAAGTTCCAGCTTTAAGTGAATAGCACGAACAAATATCCGGTTCTGCCATGTGCCTATCTCAGCCTGCGTCCAGCGACGTTTAATGGCGTATAATATTCCTCGATGAAATACCTTATGTTTGATTAACCTGCCATCAACATTTGACGTTTGGCTTCGTACGCCTCCTCCCTTGGCAAAAGCGGCAATCTTCAATAGAGGTTTTATTTGTACTCACAAACCCCTACAGACGCTTATATTGATTTCATCGTTGCTGTCAAAAAAGTGCAGTGAGGAAATATCAGAAACTATGAACCGGGCCCTTGCCGTTTATCTTGAAGAATTGCAGCCCATCATACGTTACATTTTCAGTTCTATCAAAATTTGGGTAACAGTGTAGCTTCGGATATAACAGCATCGTGGCAACCCCCCGTAAAACGCGCGTGCAAAGCCTCGCTTCTTAAGTCGCTCAACCAATTTTTCTACGTCTGCTATCTTATCTCGCCCATTTTAATATGTTTTCGACGGCCTAGACAGCGCAGGTACGGGATATCACGTAAAGGGCCAGATTGTGATGAATTAGAGTAATATAAATGACACTCCCGGTTTGAAAGCAGCAAAAGTAAAGAAGGAAAAAAATAGCGTCACTTTCACCATACATGTCATCGACACACGAAAACGCTTCGTGGTCTGGTTTTTGGACTGATTATTTTTAGCTCGGTTCATAAGCGTCGTACATTTCCAGGTGTAAGACTTGGAATCTTTCTTTTTTATTCAACAAAAATCCTTCCCGCTTAGGTGAGTCAGAACCTTTTTGAATTATTTTGTTGCTTTCTATAATTACATAATTTATCAAATAGAAACCGAAGTAGTCAGTTTAAAACTCATTAGTTTACCCATTGCCAAGTCATTACAAAGTGACCGCTACAATGTGTGCGGAATTGGCACAATCAAGTTATACCAAACTATACCAACCTATTTTTATACTTACCCCAAGCGTTCCTTTTGTCGTCAAAGCCACGTTTAACAAGTCAGATTATTTTTACCAGCGCGTGACAGGCGGCAGCTACTTCCTTGAGCGGTTTCGGTCACGCAAAGTAAGATTAGAAATTGTCTTTCTTTGCAACTAAGTCATTTGTACAGCCCACGAATGTTGCGTCGAAAGGAGGGAGCTCTTTTCCAGCGGTATAAATTTTATTTTGTGAGTGCGCATTGTTTTGTGCGTGTTTTTTTTTTAGTATGTGTGTCTGTGTGTACGAGCGTGAGTTTGTGTGTGTGTGTGCTGGCGTGTGTGCGTGCGCAAGCAAGTATCTGTATTTTGTCTCTTTTTATACTTGTGGGCGTTTGTCTGTGCGTGCTTGCATACATATTTGTGCGTTTGTGTTGAAGATAGCGCGTTTTTCTTCCAAATGAGCACTTTGTAACCACGTTCATAAGTATTTTCGAAAGTTAATTTAGGTACTGGCACCTTATAAATAAATTGTAATGCGCATGCTTGAACAGCGTGAACGATAGAACTTAGGAAGTTTACAAGCAAATGCCTATATCATATTTTCCTAACTTTCCCTCAACATAAAAATGAAAAATGTCTACACATTCACTTCACCTAACCACAAAGCCTCAGTATGGATCACTGGAATTTGACACGAACGGAACAAACAAGGGAGCACCCGTTTTACCGTTTGTCTCTTTTGTTGCAAAATGAAGACCTTCTGTCAATCCTACTAATGCGGAATATAGTGTCTATTCGTCGCAACGACTTATGTGGTAAAGGTTGAAGTTTGGCGAGTGCTTTAATTTATGAGTAAGTCATGTTTGCGATGTTCGCGTTTGTGCCACACTTCAGTGCATGATATGTAAGAATTATTCTTTGCGCTCAATCGGAACTAAGATGAGCCAAACATGCTGGAATATCAATTCTGTCATATATGCGCTTTGAATCGAAATGCCTGTCACAAGTTTAAGGCTAAATGCTACCTCTGTCGCTTTCTCCGCTTGTCCGCATTATGAAACTTAAATCATTAATTCCCTCGTGGTGTGCGCAAAAGCTGGCACACTCTCAGAAAAAAAGGTGTATTATTACACCCCTTGTCCCATATAATACACCCCAAAACTTCAATTCGACGAACATCGCCCCATAATCGAAGAGGCGGCCCCAAAGTTTACTAGGGGATTGATATCCGTGTGGTACAACTTATTAAGATAGTTGATGTACGTAATATTGACCACAAAAAAGATTAGCGCAGTTTTCTTGGCCGTACTGCAAAAGCTCCGTGTTTTCTTTCTTTGGTCTCTGATACGTACTTTAACAATTTAATAAGTTATATCGCACCGTTATCAAGCCCCTGGTAAAATTTGGTGCCGTCTGTTCGACTATAGGGCGCTCTACGTCGAAATTAAGTTTTGGGGTGTATTATATGGGACAAAAGGGTGTAAGGTGGTACCCTTTTTTTTTAGAGTGCATGGTTTACTTTTTAATAAAAGATGACTTGTGCTTCCGGCTTGATTTAATATTTCATAGAACTTTCTGAGTACATGTTAGAAAAAAGTTTTTCCTTTTAATACGCATGTTGTTCTACCCTATTAGAGAATTCGTAAGAGTTAAAAGTGATAGGGCATGGAAGCATTGGGAATGGCGGTCCTGCTCCACGGTCCAGAGTGCCACTGAGGTATACCTTCAAACGCCATTCGTTCTTTCTTGTTTTCTCCGCTTTTCAATTCCGGAATGTTCAATAACGCCATTAATCTCTGACGCTGTATGAACATATCTGCCAAAAGAGATGCTGGTCTTGTTATTTCTGCCGTTTTATTTTGTAGAATTATATTTGACGGGGTTGTTATCAACCATTCAAAATAAAAAAACCTTGCTATAATTTGTCTAATCCTACAATAGACTAAAGTCCAAAGCAACGGGCCGCCAAGTGCAATCACGTTTCAAGCTAAACTACGACATCCAGATTTGAGGAGTACGAATAATGCCCCGAATCCAAAAGCCCTGCATGATTTCTATAGCTTCGACACTGCAAAGCGCTTGTGTGTCGTGGCTTTCTTCGGAATTCAAAATTGTTGAGTCACTCAGTGCTATTCGTTTAGAACCACTCTCCATTCATACCCATCAATGATCCGAGACGCAGGCACTGATACGTGCATCGAAGAGAAATATTCCGCAAATTCTAAGTGGCTCGTGATTGGATCTCGCGGTCCGAGGCTTTTGCCTTTACACTCTAAGAATAGCCCGTGCGTCTACTTTCCCACACAACACTTGGAGAGCCAATAAGCGCACCTTACGAAGGCAGCTGAGCGAATAACAATGCCGGAACATATGTTTGGACCAAAAAACGCAGTTTGAGTTGAGACATTAAACAAAGCAAGAGTGACGGTTTGCATTGCTCAATGCCACAACTCGGACAGCGTTTATTGGTTGAAACATATGTTTCGGCATCGTCATTCGCTGACCTGCCTCCGTAAGTTGCGGTGATTGGCTCTCCGAGTGTTGTGCAGAAAAGTAAACGCATGGTTATTTTTTAGAGTGTAGTCCATCGTAGGGCGAGACGAAGTATATTGAAGTTGCAGTACCGACAGAGAAAAACACACGTCTCCCGTGTCATTACATAAGACATTTTTTAGACGTTACCCACTATATATGCATTGATATGAAGCGGCTAAGATAACTTTTTTTTTCCACGACGTTCAGAGAATTTTTCCTTCAGTAATATGTCGCTCCTAAAGTACAATACGAATATGAAAATACCATATCGAAATATATGGACGCCGGAGAAATCACTCACCGTGCACTGCTCCTAAGGCGGCGTGCAGCGTCCCAATAGAGTCGGCGAAGAAACTGAGCATGACACCGAGGGCTGAGATTACGCTTCCTACAATGATCACAGGCCGCGCAGTGAAGCGGTGGCCCAGGGGTCCCGCCAGCAGTCCTATGACAAAAAGAGCAAAATAAATAAAGGCTCGACTTACCGACGTAAATGAAAAAACACAGTTTCTTTTTTTTTTTAATCAAACCTTTTTTTTTTGTATTTTTTTTTTTTTTGTAAAGACTGGGCTTCTCAAGTTGTGCGAAGTTGCTACCCTATTTAAACTTAGGAGTCTGCAAGTGAGCGTAACCGGTTCAACTATTCAACATACTTCGCAGGTAAAATAAGAAGGGAGGTATTATATCACTAAGTACGGGTCTGGTCCCAACGACCTGAAATACTGCTATGGAATTTTGAACCTATGACTTTGGTCATTATGGCTAAATATTAGTGCGTGATGGGGGATGAAATCTGTTCTGTCTCTTTGTAACCGACATTCCACCTTATTGATTCACTTTAGACATAAGAACATCGCAAAGAGAAAGTGGTGAGGAGTTTACCTTTCATTTAGTGTCTTCATAATTTTTTGGAAAATCAAGAAGAACACTATGACTTTTTTAATATGAACTGAGTGCTATATTCTCACAAAAACTGACTGCAACAATTAACGGTTTAAGGTAACAAACATGTTTCCCAACAAAATACAATATCTACTGTTTAGCATTTTGCGTCGATGTCGGCTAACAGAAGGACAAAAATCTATGTGCCTAAGAATGACTGACGCAGCACGCTACTGCTGGTTTTATGTGCACTCTATTGTCAAGAAAAAGGCAGAAAATAGTATGGACCCGAAGTTTCGACGTTTTAACTCGCGGCCATATTTTTGCCGACTAGGGTGCCGCCCTTCGGGCACTTCGCGGGGAGTGCGGTTTAGCAGACATTTTCCCCGTGTGCGCTGGAGTTAAAACCGGTGTTAAAATCGCACACGACAGAAATACAAACGGCACTCTCAAAGCAATCGTGTAGACTGTGCGTACTGCGGCGTACCACCGCGATTTCCGCATTCCCCACCTGTGCAGCAAGCCCCGTCCGGTGTCGGGAGTAGAGCGCCGCTCTCGTCTACGAGCTACGCTAAAACAATCTGGTCTATAAGTGCCAACATTAATCTGGAACCTTCCAGAGGAGCAAAGAAAGATAAAAATAAAAACTAGAAAAGCAGGGCTCGAACCCCATGCCTCCGCATCAGAGCCTTGTGCACTGCCAACTTGATCCTTGTCAAATCGTGCATCCTCAATTGTGACAGCCTTGGTCACAATTGAGGATACACGATGGGCGAGAAAAGTGTATAAGCCTCTATGCATAAAACGTTTGAACATTAAATGAACAAACCGTACCCTGAAACTAAAATTACAATGCCGACAGTCAGGTTCAGGGGCAAAACAGGCTACCTCTGTGAAAAAGAAAGTAAAATGAAAGTAAAATAAGCCCAGAGAAAGATGTGAGGGGAAAGAATACAGGAAAATAAAGCCTTAACTATGTTTGGTACGAAAACAAGAAATAAGGAATATACATTGGTAGGATAATGTACGGTGGAGCTTGCTGTTATTCGATGCTTGAACAGGAGCATTGAGGACTAGGACATGTAAGACAAGGTATGAAAAAGTGCATACGAGGTGTTCTGAATGCCAATAAAAAAAATGAGACATTAGAGCATGAGGTGTTGAGGTGCATATGGCTAGCTCCTGCCCTCCCGGAGGGGACAACGTGTTCAGCCGGAGAGCTGGGGCATGCAGATGAGATTCGAATAATGGATGATAAGTGCATCTTAATAACAAAGAGGAAATCGGAAGACTGGAGGAAATTATTTAGGGAGAATAGAATTAAATAAAACTAGCTGACACAGCTGTGGTACACAGGGCAGACGCAAATTGGGACCCCCTTCCGCCTGACTCCGGCCCAAAGCCTCCGCCCTGTCTTCCAGTGGGCCCAGTGCCGGGGTAACGCCGACTAGGTTTGACCACAGGAATATTGGCGACTCCCTCGCAGGGCGGAAGAAGCGGGGGTGAAGTTTTGTTTTTTTGCTGATTCCCCGAAGGTTCTCCTAGTGATATCCCACACCGCCTGGTTATAGTTACGAAATTGCAGAGGGTAAGCAAATTAGCGAAGGAAGGAGATCATACATTTGGTTTTTAATTTCTAGTACAGGTGGTGCAAGCTACCGCCCTATATAAATAGTACATCCGTTAGCATCCATCCATCCATCCATGCACAAGGCAACAGAAGAGCTGTAAGAAGATTGGGGGCCACAAACAATTAGTACAATTCTTTACGAAATTCGCAGTACCTTGTTATAACACGGTAGCTCTGCAGTAGCGCCCTTATGACAGAACGTATCGCAGAACTGTCGCATACTACGAGAGATGCCGGGCAAGAATCATTGTAGCCAGTATTTCTACCAATTTGTTTGTGCACTAAGAAGTCCTATTTTACGTTAACGAGAAGCCTGATATTTGAAAGGCTTGTCATTTCTTATATAATTGACGCGTTGGCAAGAAAACAGCAACTGAAATAGGTTCAATGATTGGCTGTTGTAACTCATTACGCTGTAGGGTACGGATAGGTGCATTGAAAGTAAAGCCGTGAAAGAAACTCACCTGACAACACTCTTGCCCCCCCAAGAAGCATGATGGTCCAGACCGCTTCTTCTCGGCTCACGCTGAACTCCTTCATGATGATGACATAAAGGATCCCGGACGACCTCAATGGAGCCAAGGCGAAGAAGGTGGAAAGCGCACATGCTCCTGCAGTGAGCCAGCTGTGGATGCTGTCCGGACCATGCTGCTGCGAGTTGAAACGGGCCGTTTTCTCAGTGAACATGTGGTCCGCGCTCATCGTGCTCTAAAATTAATTAATTGTATCATTAATTGAATTCATGTTTATTGTGTTCTCACAGAGCTTCCAGGCCTATAGAGGGGTGCACGTGTATGAGGCGAAATACAGAAAGATGACTAACTGTTTATCATTTCTATGCACTCTTGTTGAACTCCTCAAAATATACTAGTGAAGAAGTCCACGTCAAAGCTTTCTAACGTGCCATATATAAGCGTCATGCGTTTCAGTGGAGGCCTACATTCAAAACCAGAATGGCAAAACAGAAATATGAAAATGTATTTTTCGTCCAGTAATATAAAATGGGATTCTACTTTGTAGCAAGGGGAAATCAAGAACAGGGTTAAGCACCTTATAAAGAAGCGCCATATCGCGAACTAGACCTGTATTCGAGAGAGGCGAACGATGAAGTGTGGCTAAGACGCACATAACAATTATAAAAGCAACTGTCTAAGGTGGGATTTCCCGAAAGACTCCAAGATTTTCATTTTAAGCGCGAGCTCCTGTCAGTTGCAGAAGATGCAAAACGAGCGCGTTCTCACCCTCTCCACTTCTAAGTGTTTTAGCCAACCTCTACATGAACTGGAAAACCAATATTGAGTCTTGGCAACTTATTAGGTTCTGTACAAACGCTTTAAAACTTGTCTTCGAAACCTTCGCCGCTTACGGAATGGCGAAACAACGGTCATGGTCTACCCCCGTCTTTAGTAGTTTTTGTATCTGCAACATCTCTTGCGATTCAGCAAAACGTTTTTATTTTTAATTTTAAGAAACAGTCTGCTGTTCCTTCTGACTCAGCCTGGGAATTTCTAACGATTGTCTTAGTCACAAATTGCCACACAGGGGAGACAACCTCGTCATTTGAGAAAATCCTATGATTGACGACGCAGAGGTTAGAAACACGGGAACTGCAAATGCAAATCAGTTGTACTGTGGAATGGAAAGATTAACGTCGATTTTTTAGGGTAAAATGTTATGTGCTGCTTCCCTTTTTGCGTCGTAGTCACAATACAGTCTATCTGACATCCCTCGTGTATACGTGACAACCCTCCTAGCCACGAGGAATATCCCATGAATACCAAACAGACATAAGATTGCAAAAATGTGCAGAAAAATGTACTGGAGTGTACTATACCACTACAATAGAAATCTTTCCCGTCGCCTATAATATCATTTGCACTTTTACGAAGCTTTTATATTTGGTTATTTGGGTTTTAGTTGTTGGTCGCGTGATGTTTAGTATAAAAAAATGTGTGTTACTTCTTTCAATAACATATGTTCACGTGAAACCAGCGCTCCAAAATTCTTACAATTTCTTCATCACAAAACAATTAAAATGCTTTTCTTTTCACATATAGTCTACAATCAATGCGAGTATCTCCGTATCACAGGCTACACAATTTGAAGCTCCGAGTTGGAGTTGTTGCAACGCAGATCAAAATACAATTACAAAAGTTAACTCAGACCTTTAAAAAGAAAATTAACGACTTCTCTGCACATTAAAAAATATATTAATTATTTCCCAGAACTATTTTACTGCAGCATTGATTTGAAAAAAACTATAATTCGCAAGCCGCTGCTTCCTCATAATTTCAAAAAAATGCAAGCGTCCTACCAAAGTGTAGGCATATTTATCAGTTTGTATTTTTTCTTTGCCTAACATTTTTCTAACTTAATCCCGAGCTACACATTCCTCTGAAAAATAGTATCTTATCTCTGCCTTTGTCTTGTATTCATTTGTTGTCCCAGTTCATTTCACGTTACTTATAGTTGGTGCTTCAGTAACTAACACAAAAAAAATGTGTGACGACCATGACAATTTCGATGCAGAATGGTCTTTCTTGCTATTTTATTCCTAGTATCTTGTTAAGAAGTTCAGTTGTTCCTATCCTTGCAAGGTTTGCACGTATTCATTTGAGATTTAGTTTGAATCGTGGTACACATCGCGACACTGTTAGCGCGAACACGACACCGGCGCATTTTCGCATTTTACTTCTAAATAGTATTAGCGAGCACGAAATGTTATCGCTTACATTACAGAACTAAATTAGCTCTTTCCCTAGCAGTAAAACTTAGATGACTTCCCTTAGTTTCATAGGGAAAAACTGAAAAATCCGGCGATCGCTTGTTCGCGCTAACCGTGTCGCGCTCTGTACATGTTTAACATTGCCGTACGTTTTCAATATAAAGTAAAAAAAAGAGACAGAAGTAAAAAAAATACCTAGTTTTTGAGGTTGGAACGGAATTCGGCATACGCAGGATTTCTCCTAATGGATAGGTTTCATGCTTGGCTGAAAATGTTCACTCAATGCATGATGTGGACTGCGATTCCATACCTTTGTCATTCAGCCAAAACATTCTACAAAATATATGCATAAAAAAGCCATCTAAAGCTTTTCCCGAGCATTAAACAAGTAAAGTAGTCCTCGTGATTTTATTATCTCTTATTTTGTGAGCAGAAGCATACATCATACATTGAAAGATATAAACGTGCTTTATGAGAAAAGAGAACCGCATTTTTCAGTCGGGAAAAGTTAGCTATACATCTCTGAAACTTAAAACTTCGTAAGAATGTAACGCTAGAGGTTGTGATAGAAGACGAAAGTTTGAGAACATGGCGTTACCTGGGTCAAAATATGATTGAGAAGATAAACATTTGGCTATGAGCCGATGTCTATCAATGAATAATATTATCAAAACAAGAATCATCATTGTTAGCTCCTGTAGCATCGATTTCAGTAAAACAAAATTTTCAGAAAGAAAGATAACAATATTATCTTTCTAATCGACAAGTGTTTTTCACTGATATAAATTTCACAAGCGTTGACAATATTATTATTTTTTAGCGATAGTAGGCTTTGGTGGAAGTCGGCTCATAAAGAATTTTCTTTTTTCTCAATTATTCTCTGACAAATGCTACGTCATGATCTCAATCTTTCGCGTTCTATCCCAACCACTAGTTTCAGATTCTCACAGAGTTCGAGCTTTCTGCGATGTATAGCTTACTTCTAAAGACCGAAAAACGGGGTTTTCTTTTCTCCGGAACTTCTTTCACAAATACTTCAGAAGATATTTTCTACAAACTAACGTCAGTAAAATTTATATTTCATAGTACAGAATGTGGAAAGTGAATACATTTAACGTTCTGGCCGAGACGACCTTTTTTTACCAACTTTTTCTGTATTCTTGTGTGACAATCACCCTCTGAAAATGGATAATGCTTGTTCCAATTTTTAAAGTGCTGAACATTATGTTCATATTATTACAAGGTAGGCCCAACACACTTAAATATAAACCAATGCACTTAAACAATACAAGATTAATGTTTAATTATTTTATTATGAATAATTTTGCGACATACAAGGGTATTGGCGACAGTATGCAGAAATCATCAAGTTCATTCCGAATATTTGTGTTACATTAGTTTAATATTTTGACAATATATTAGAAAAAGTTCCAGCTTCGTTGAACGAATAACATTTTATTGATGCATGTTTTTTGGAATATACACATAAATACAAATGAACTCCCTCACATATCTTAGATAGGCTTTAGTAGATATGGCAACTTTAATAATTGGTACGGATTCTGTGACGATACCTTTATTCTACATGTAAGACAAAGAGTAATTTGCCGTTGCTCGACATAATCTGGGAAAGAAAGTATGACTGATTCTCTGGTTTCAGCTTTGACTGTTTACTTCGAGAATATCAACCACTTTTATAATCACCATACCGCCAGACACAGAAACACTCAATCGTGACCAAACATAGACGTCGAGAGAAGTACTTTTGCAGTCAATCTTATTCACACACTCGATAGCAACCGGCGACTATCGATTGCGAAAGGGATTAGTTTCATTTCATGGAAGCATCAATGCTTGACGCTAGATCATGCGGAGAAGTGTTGTTTGCTGGAATCTTGGCTCGCACCCATGCGGACTTTCCCCACAGTCACCGTACGTATTATCGAACACCTTGGCAGTCAGCAGATTCAGATCCCGCAGCCGGTTTTTCATTCTCAATCACAAACATTTCCGGTCGCTTTTACTCTGTTTACGGGGTTGATTATCTTGAGATTCAGCGCACATACTTAGCTCGAAGTCTAGAACGCTATTGTGTCGTTTGCCTTTGATTGCAGCTCTTCGTTGCAACCCGATCAATATCAACCCGATCAATGTTTTCTGTCGCTCTGGCAGAACCTTCTATATGCCCACCACTCCAGGAAGCAAATACGCGTCCGTCTTGTGAACGGATTACGTTTTGCGAAAGTTGTGCACTCCACATTTATTATTTATTTATTTAACAATACTGTCAGCCTTACTTGAAGGCTATTAAGGGAGGGGTAACAACAATATATATATAGTAACATTCGAAATTGCTCACACCAGACTTGTACTTATGCGGCTACCGAGATAATCCGCATATTTATAAGGGAAAATCTGAATGCCACTATTAACTGGAATATTAAAGCCCTCTCCAAATGCCCAAAGAATAACCGTGCAGTCACTCCACACCTATCCTCGTGCGCTTACGGATTTTGGTGGGAATCGAAAAGGAAAACACGACGGATATCCTGCTATTAGCACAGCAGTTAGGTTACAAAGAAAGAGCTTTTACAATTTTTATATACGACCAAACTTTGCTCCAAATAAGATTGGCTGAGACTGTATTTATGTCGGAATAAGCGAAGTTTTCGTACATCTACAAGCTAGGAGTTTTACTAAAAACTGAATAACTCCTGTTTAAATTTTAATGGCTCTTGAAATAAAGAAATGATTGCTTCGAGATAACGTTATCGACAGCGTCAACCGTAAGGTAGGGAGCTTTAAGTGATAATTATACAAATAATTACCAAAACTTAAGCAACTTTTTTACGTATTCGTTTTCGCTAGCACACCCCAACTAGAAATTTGCAGCCCGTCGTTGACATGTTTCGTACCTGGTGCTAAA